TGGCCTGCTGTGTTCATCCAGCCCTGCACCTTGTTGTCTCGCCTATTATTTTAAATTGTGTTCCTTTGTTCTAATGTCTCCCAAAAAGTGAAACCTTTCACCACGGAAAGAGTGGTCCGTAAAGTCCTCTCATGTTTCAATTAGATCAATTCTCGTTTTTCTAAATTCCAATGGATGGAAACCACTGCTAATGCCTGATTACACAGCAGCACATTCCCTATTTAAGTTTGCTACAATTTCCTGCAAAAAATAATAAGTAATTCCATTTTTGCATTTCAATGTTTTTGGCTTTTTTAAGAGAAATATTATTAGGCAAAATTTCTAGACCTCTCCTTTAGATAATGGATTTAAAAAATTTATTCAGTGTTAGTGTCTTTGTTTTCAATGTGCCACAATCGTCTGCGTCCAATCTATCGTGAATTTCACGGCTCTCTATAAGTTTTTCAACTTTTTAACACCATAACCAAGTTATATGCATTGCGAGCCATTCATTAATTTTTAATTGCACCACCAATCATTATTTATTTTTACATTGAATTCACTCTTTTTGTTTACTAGTTATGGCCTTTTTATGTTCATTGGAGGAAGCAATGTTTAATTAAAATTGATAATGTCCGTTCATAATGTAGGATCATTTAAACATCTAATCCCAATTAACACAGTCCTTGAATTATCAAATTTGCCTTTATGACCCATGTTTGCACCTGCGTTCATTTTGTGTTTTGACAAAAACAACCGTAAAACAATTTCTGAAGAAGGGTCTAGGCCCGAAACGTCAGCTTTCCTGCTCCTCTGATGCTGCTTGGCCTGCTGTGTTCATCCAGCTCTACACCTTGTTATCTCTAGGATTGGGAAGAAAGTGCCTTTGTGAAAGGATGGGGTTCTGGATGGAGTAATGTGTCATAGAGTCATTAGAGCAAAAAAAAGGCCATTTGGTACAGTTTTTACCCTGTCCCCATCTTTACCTCAGAGTACAACAGGATCGTGATCAGATGGGCCAATGGGCTGAGAAGTGGTAGATGGAGTTTAATTTTGGTAAATGTGAGGTGCTGCATTTTGGAAAGGTAAATCAGGGCAGGACTTAGACACTTAATGGTAAGGTCCTGGGGAGTGTTGCTGAACAAAGAGACCTTGAGGTGCAGTTTCATAGTTCCTTGAAAGTGGAGTCGCAGATAGACAGGGCGGTGAAGAAGGTGTTTGGTACGCTTGCCTTTATTGGTCAGTGCATTGAGTATAGGAGTTGGGAGGGTTGTGTTACGTCTGTACAGGCCATTGGTTAGGGCCACTTTTGGAAAACTGCATTCAATTCTGGTCTCCCTGCTATAGGAAAGATGTTGTGAAACTTGAAAGTGTTCAAAAAAGATTTACAAGGATGTTTCCAGAGTTGGAGGGTTTGAACTACAGGGAGAGGCTGAACAGGCTGGGGCTATTTTTCTCTGGAGTGTCGGAGGCTGAAGGGTGGCCTTATAGGGGTTTAGAAAATCATGAGGGACATGACTAGAGTGAATAGCCAAGGTCTTTTCCCCAGGGTAGGGGACTCCAAAACTAGAGGGCATAGGTTTAAGGTGAGAGGGGAAAGATTTAAAAAGGACCGAAGGGGCAACTTTTTCACACAGAGGGTGGTGCATGTATGGAACGAGCTGCCAGAGGAAGTGCTGTAGGCTGGTACAATTACAACATTTAAGAGGCATCTGGATGGGCATGTGAATTGGGAAGGGTTTAGAGGGATATGGGCCAAATGCTGGCAAATGGGACTCGATTACTTTAGGATACCTGGTCGGCATGGCTGAGTTGGACCGAAGGGTCTGTTTCTGTGCTCTACAGCTCTATGGCTCATTCTGAAGGCTCTCTCTGGTGATGGAATACTGTTTAATGTACCTGCTACTTGGGACAGTTCAAAGTTGTTTCTACATGATAATTGATGGAAGGCTATTCAGAACAGAGCAGTGTCTCAGTAGACAGCCTCTTCCGATATAGCTACACATTTCCGTTATGAACAGGAACAAGAGTTTGACTGATGCTCCTGCATTGAATGCGCTGAGGTTGAATATTGTTTCTGTTCCGCTATTACCCTAACAATGACTGACCAGTCCAGAGTGGACAATTAACCCTGGAATCATGCCTTTTTGTGGTCATGCAATAAGTCATGTTGCATTGACCAACTGACCCTTCCCAAGGGACACTGGAGACACTGTCCGATTGTCACAACCTCCCAATGAAACAACACTGGATGTGGGGAGGATTGACAGATGAAAGAAAAATGAACAGAGAAACAGCAGTCCCTTCCTGTCAGCAATCATTTTGCTTTATGATTTTTCATTTCTCTTCAGATGTTGTTCCTCCAGAGTCTCCAAGGGGGATGTCCAACACAGCTGATAAAGATGAAAACCAGACTATGAAAATGTCGAAACACGGAGACAAACAAGGTTTGTGTCTGCACTTTATTGCCAAAGAGTGACTTATTGTTAAATAAATCCCCCACCCCCATCCCCACCACCCCCCCCACCCACCTCCCACCTCCCACCTCCCACCTGGGAAAGATAAATGAAGCTAAGGGAACTCTTCCACTTTGAATTCCCTGTTTGAGCTGCAGTTTCTCCTGGGCAGTGGGCACGGACGATGGGTGCCATCTGCTCACACTGCGGAGATGGCAGAGTTCAAGAACAAGCGGGGGGAATGTGTGATGGGGAGGAGCGGGAGTGGTCAGCGTCGCTTCCCTCTCTGCCTTCTCTTGAGGCGCCAGCTGGAGCGTTCAGGAGGAACCACAGGCACAATAGCAGCCAGCCCCGCCTGCTCTAGCTCCAGGTGACTGCACACCGCCTTCCTCCGGAGACAGAGACTCCCTTCCTGACTTCAGCCCCCTGTGACTTTCTCAAACCCACCCCCTATCTTTGAGCTCCTTTGTGCGGTCCTGCCACCGATTTGTTGAAAGCGAACGGCGAGAGATGACATGAGGAAAGTGAGGGCAGCGCCTGCAAGTGGTCTGAGTCTGCAACACTTTGCTAGGGAGCGCGGACGGGGCAGATTCAGTTGTAACAAAGTGTTGACTGAGAACCCAAAGGAAACAATTTGCAGGGGTATGCAAAAGGGCAGGACATAGACTCTGGGCCGAATGACCTTCCTCTGTACTGTATGTAACCATGTGTTTCTAAGATTGAAAAGCACTTATTAATCCTCATTGGATTTGAGTGTCTAGCGATAATCAATAATAACACATAGATGACAATTGCAAATTCCCCACTATCTTGAATTGCAAGTTTGGAAATTGAAGCTCTGTGTAAGAAACGAGAGCATGAGGAGGACATTTAGTCCTTCAAGCATGCTTCACCATTCACTGAGCTCAATGGCTCAATCTTCTTCTGCAACACCATTTCCCTGCACTGTCCCCATATAGAGCCATACTCATTAATACCTAGGAACCTATTGATCTCCGTTTTGAATGTACTCAATGACTGAGCCTCTGGGATAGAGAATCCCAAATATTCCCCACCCTCCAACTGCTAAAATTCCTCCTCATCTCAGTCCCAAATGGCTTGCAGGTGGTCACCGCCTAGTCAAATTGTGCCAAATTTCCTCCAATGTCTCTCTGACATGTTCTTGTTAGAAGGTTTATTATCTTTTTTGGGAGAACATGTGGGGCTTGAGAGAAAGAGAGAAGGCCAGGGTGGCTCAGTGGTTAGCACTACTGCCTCACAGTGCCAGGGACCCAGGTTCGATTCCAGCCTCAGGCAGCTGTCTGTGTGGAGTTTGCATGTTCTTCCCTGCATCTGTATGGGTTTCCTCCGGGTGCTCCAGCATCCAAAGATGTGTAGGTTGGGATGGATTGGCCATGCTATATAGCCCCATAGTGTCCAAGGATATACAGACTAGATAGATTAGCTATGGGATAGGATAGGATAGGGTAGGGGGATGGCGATGGGTCTGGATAGGATACTCTTCAGAGGGTTGATGTGGAGTTGATGGGCTGAATGGCCTGCATCCACACTGTAGGGATTCTATGATATAACATGAAGATAGATTGCTCCTCCACAGAGGAGACAATACAGGTGGAATGGCCTCCTCCTGTAACCCTTCTGTCATATCAGCGCTAACCGATTCTGGGGTCAAATCCAGCAGAGAACTGAAAGCTTTGGCACGGAGCACGTACAAAGACTGTGTCAAAGTTCACAAGAAACATCCAAAAAACAATTCCTCTCCTGAAGGTACCCAGGCCAACCTCACAGCAACAGCACCTTTCATCTGTGGTGCTCATTGTTGAACTGTTAGTCTAAGTTAAGCTGGTCTCAGGTGTGCCTTTCAACTATGAAAAGCATCACAGTTGAACTAAATGCTGACTTTGCCCAATATTCAAGGCGATATGATCTGGAGCAGATACCAATGTGGCAACATATGGGCTAGGAACAGGGGTAGGCAGTTCGGCCGTCGAGCCTGTTTGGGTAACATTGTTGAGATGATAGTGTTTCACTGTATTGAGTCTGCAGTTGCAGAAGGTGATCGCTCTGAAGCTAATTGCATGATGGCTTGCTGGCTAACTGAAGGACGCCTGATTAAGTGGGTTAAGACCTCTGTTAAAATAGCAGAGAATTGGATAGAAACTTGTTAAGCATTCACGCAATTACGTCTGCAGTGGTCAATTTTATTCATTTTAACCCGGGCAGTTTTCTTTTTAAATTTGTTTTGCTGCTGAGCCTGCTTCTGTATCACATTCACGTTTCCTTTCCCTTTCAGCTGATGCTTCTCGTGAAAGGGGAAAGACCCACTTTTATTTCCCTGTGTTGAACCCTAAAAGAGGAATTTGCAGTCACGGTGCGTGTGGGTACGGGTCCTGAGTGGGGAGCTGCAGTTTCTCGGGAAAGGTGGAAATTTGTTTTCAGACAAGGGCACTCTTCGGAGGGCCAGTGTGGACTCGATGGGCCGAATGGCCTGCTTCCACACTATAGGGATTCTATGACAAAAACCCCACAACCAAATCACAGCAACTGAGAGAGCCAGGTAGAGGACAGGAGTAGAAAGATTATAGGGGGGATGACAGGTACATCAGTTATGATCAGATGAGGCACAGGTTTTATAAACCTTCAAACTGCAATAAATAGGAAGGAGGTGGGGATTGCCACACCTTTAAGATCCTGCAGAGAATGTATTCATGCAGCGTGTGGTGTAATAAGACTGAGTCAGCACCGAAAGCATACAGACTGCTCACTCATTTCCTGTTGTGTGATTTTGATTTGCATACACTGGCTGTCGTGTTATCAAACAGCGCACGTAAGAAATTCCTGCATGTGAGGACAGGCAATCTGTATTTTAAAACAGTGCAGTCGCAGGGGAAGATCAGCTGTACGTTGGGTAATGGTTTGAGCCCTTTAGGACTTCACTTTGGAACTTAGGGACACTTTGAACTTGCATACATCAAGAGTCATAGAGTCATACACCACCAATCCATCCCGACCATAATCCCAAACTAAACTTGTCCCACCTGCCTGCTCCTGGCCCATATCCCTCCAAACCTTTCCTATTCATGTACTTATCTAAATGTCTTTTAAATATTGTAACTGCTTCCGCATCCACCACTTCCTCTGGAAGTTCGTTCCACACATGAACCACTCTCTGTGTAAACAAAAAATTGCCCCTCATGTCTGAAAATATGCCCCTCAGCCTTGAAATTCCCCACCTTAGGGAAAAGACATCTGCCATTCACCTTATCTATTCCCCTCATTATTTTATTGACCTCTGTAAGGTCAGCTGTCAACTTCTTATGCTCCATCGAGAAAAATTCCAGCCTATCCAGCCTGTCCTTATAACTCGAACCCTCCATTCCCGGCAACATCCTGGGAAAAAAAACAAAAACGGAAGCTGCTGGAGAAGCTCAGCAGGTCTGGCAGCATCTGTGAAGAAATAAAGTCAGGGTTAATGTTTCGGTCCGGGTTCTGAGGAAGCGTCACCGGATCCAAAATGTTAAACTCTGATTTTCTCTTCCCAGATTCTGCCAGACCTGCTGAGCTTTACCAGCAACTTCTGTTTTTGTTCCTGATTTACAGCATCCGCAGTTCTTTCGGTTTTTATTCAACATCCTGATGAATCTCTTCTGAACTCTCTCCATCTTAATAATTTCCTTCCTATAACAGGGAGACCAGAAGAGGCCTCACCAATGTCCTGTACAACCTCAACATAACGTCCTAACCCTTATACTAAAAGGTCTGAGAAGGCAAGCGTGCTAAATGTCTTCTTGACCTTTTTAACTGCTACGCCCTGGTCGTTTTGGCCACAGGAACACACACATGTATCTCGATCATCTACACAGAACATATCTTGTGGCACTTGGCTTCCTTTCTTAGCATTTGCTCACTTTTTGCTAGTTGGAGACTGCCACCCTCTGAGGCTTGTATTGTTTTTATATACATTGGGAATGGCTACGTTTAGAACCCTGACAGTTAAGGGGCTGGACATGTTGTGGAACAGTGTCAAACCTGCAGCATGTGCGATCAGCCAATGTGGCAAACACGCTGCATATGTATTTCAACCAAACAGCCATATCCGAAAGCGCAACAAGCCCAGTCCTTTGTGGGCTTAGAGAGGTCGGTAATCAGTCAGGAGTGCTGCCACAATCAGTCAGAGAATTCTTAAAATAAAACTTAAGAATGCTGAGGATCGGAAACAGACACAGCAATTGCTGGCAAAGCTCAGCAGGTCTGGCAGCATCAGCAGAGAGAAAGCAGAGTCAACCTTTCGAGTCTGTGACCCTCTTTCAGTCAAAGGCCTCAATTCCAGTCAGGGGAATTGGCCCGTGGTCAGTCCCGAAGGTCAGGTTCAGGCAAAGACTGCAAGCTACCTTCCCTCTATGTTTTTCCTGCCACTTGCACAGACCTGTCTAGGTACTGTGCGGATCAGCGGCTTTCAGAACTGGGTTTCAGTGCTTTCTCACTGTGATCAGTGTGTGTGAACCCTCCAAACAGCAGGTATATCAGTCTGGGTGCTGCGGACACTGATCCTTTGCCACTCAGCAGGAAGATGCAATGATTTTCTTTCCTTCACTATTCGCCAGCCTATTCCAGGACCCTGTTTTGTAAGGGAGAACACTGGAACACCACAGTGTGAAGGTCAGTTCCTGACTTGCAGTATCTGATGTGTGGAGTCATAGAGATGTACAGAATGGAAACAGACACTTCGGTGCAACTCTTCCATGCCAACCAGTTATTCTCGTGCAATGGAGCTGAATTTTAAACCTGATGCCAGCGATATGATCATTGCAAACTCCTGGCAGTGGTGAGTGCTGGTCCCTCTCCTGCTGTACAGTGCCAGGCGGAAGGGACCCATTGCATAATTAATCAAATGCAGAAGATTGCATGAGAAAAGGATTCTCACTTTGTCAAAAACAGGAAATTTCAGCCAGTAGTTTCAGTTACATTTTTGGTTTTGGGTGTCTGAAAAT